GATTCAAGCATCTTAGCATCCATGGAGGAGGGCAGCGCAAAGTAGCTGTGACTAAAAGAATTTGTCCAGAACATGCCAAAGGTGGATTCATTTTTGTGGACTTTCGTGAATTGTATTGCATAATCGTAGATATACTCCGCATAATGTCTACGACCCACGCAGTAGGGAACATTGGATACCAATGCCTTCTTGAGTTCCTTCTCGATGGCCAGCACAAGAGGTCGTGGATAGTAATCTGTTGGTGGTTTGACGAAACCCTTCTTATTGTAGTTGAAGGTGGCAAACCGGCCCCAATCCTCGGCGTARGCTGTAATATATCCCAACTGCTTGTAGTCCTTCCAGAGTAAAGGACAAGCATCCATGCCAGCGACAGCCTTTGGCCGGCAGACAGACATGGAGCGGGAGTTATTGAATCCTGTCAAAATGGCCATTAAGTTGGGATATGTGTTGTCTCCCATCTTAGAAATTGATTAGTAACACTATAATTATTATTAATAAATGATCTAGTGCACTAACCTTATTGTATCCTCGCAGCTCATGCCAATTCTCTCCTCGCAAAAATTTGTACATCTGAGGCATAGTCCGCTGGAAGTTCATTCTCGACATGGAATCAATGCCCCAAAGCAGGACACTTGGCCTGCTTTCTGCTGGCGTTGATTGACTAATATTTAAGGCAATTGGAGCTGTTCGATTGGCCACATGTTTGGCTGGTTGCACAAAGCTAAAGGCATCCTGTTGCAGCAGCTTTTTGTCCTTCAGACGACGACACTCGGTGATAATGGCATCCATATCCTGGGGAAGGACAAAGTCCTGTTGGAAATATTTACATGACCACAATCTACAATATGTTCACAATTAGCTTTGACGCTCTATTTGTCGAATCAAATAAAATATGTGAATATCTACTTGAACTTGTTGTCCGCCTCCGCACCATTTCCGTCGCGCAGAATCTTTTTATAGCAGCATCTGATGTCTGCTACATTCATGTGCAGCTTATATCGTCGATCCGTCTCATTGTAACTCACAGATATTAGAGCCTTTGTTTTATCGCAAGAGGAATAGGTTGAATTTTCAAATATTCTCAGCGCATCTCTTGCAAATGGATTTATAGCGGGCATACGACATCGTGAGGTGTACACAAAATAGTTATCCAAGATGTTGGGACCTACAGGTTAATATAATACCTTGCTTATTTGATTATTGTAACAAACCACATTTTTACCCAACGTCTCGGAAGAGTTTTGTAAGGGCCCTAGCTGCGGTGAAGCCGAAGTCAAAATGATATTGCCCGCATGAAATGCATTTTCTTCTGCGTATGCAATATAATCATCGTATAAGTTGTCAGTCAAATCTGTCCCTATAGAGCTCAGTGTTGGGGAAGTTGTGAAAGTATAGACAAAAATGAGTAGAAATATGCCACATATAATGCAAATTTTCCAAGTCTTCTGTCCGGCGGATCTATCGCTAAGCCAAGCCATTTCCGGTTGAATAAGTTGACCAGCTATTATATGCCCATTGCGGGTTGAACTGATCGCACTGCTTTCCTGAATCAAACTGTGCTCCATATAATACTCAGAGCACAAGTTTAACTTCGGATTCAGTTTTATCGCAACTCTGAATGCCATTTATGAGAACTTCAGCTTCTGCGCTCGTTTATCGACATCACATGTCGCAAAACATCATGAAGGCATATGTATAGTGCCTACATGTGTAGTATATAAATACACATATTTGATAAGCATCCTTCTAAGTAATACCCGCATAAATTGGTGTGTATGTACATGTTTGAGTAATGCCTATTGAAAGTGGATAAGTATTTAATGATAGATATTTCGGTGTTTTCCCTAAGGCAGAGCGTTCCCTGATAATAACAATTAGAATATGATAGTTATGCAAGAAACATAGCAGGGAATTAAAATTATAATGCATTGAATTGTTATTCGCTTTTTGTATTTTTTGTTTTATTTCAATAATTTAAGTCAATTAAAAATGTACATATACAATAATATACGTATACTTTTTATAACACAAGTATACACAAAACTTCATAAATAATAAAAATATGTTCATGAAACGCATTACAAATACCACGCACATATTTAAATATGCTTTTTAAATTGTACGCAGATTACAACTGGCCACAAAATGTGAACGGCCAGCTGAATCTAGTAAAAATGCGCGCACATTCTAAAAAACTCATGTTCATTTCAGTTTTAGCTAGAGCATAATACATATGTAATAGTATTGTAATATTATTTCATACATTGACGTTTACACTTATTGTTCTGTCGACGTTTTATCTAGGTTAATCTGTATCCATATTTTTCCTGTTTTAACTACATTCATTTGCATTCTACTGTGGGTGAGTTCTTTCATCTTATTTATGTTTTTATTTTTTACTGTTATTTTCTTTTATTTGTTGGTAGGTTGGATTTCCTTTGCTCAATACAAATTTTATGCCTAATACATAAGATGTCACACCTTGGTGTGAGCAATTGCTCATAACAAATTCTAATACATATTATAATTTCTTCAACGACTGTATTTTTTTTACTTTAAACGCAATCTGCATTATATACTTTAAATGTTTTATCTTGGTATCTAAATATTCTCAATGTCTGTAAATGACATTAATTTAACCACTGCCCGCCCTGCTCGTCATCAGATAATTCGACCATTTATGAGTTAGTTACTTCCACATAGTTCGCCGGATACAAGCCTACTCGGCCATTCATGCGACCTTTGCACCAGCCTTGTTCATCCTCATCCTCTAGTTTCTCAAAGACATCACCTGACGAAATAGACATTAATGATTAGAAGGGAAAAACGAGATATATGCTATATGTGTGTGATCAATGCTTACCTTGCTTGAAAGTAAGCTCGTCGCTTTCAGCGCCGTCATAGTCATATAAGGCCTTCACTGGCACACCCGGCTCCCCGTTGTCGACCAGCACATTGTCAGCCTCATCCCACTCCTCCTCCTCGTCGAATGGGTTTGCGTCGACTTTGCCGTTGCCATTACTGTGTGTGCATGCAAATTGAAATCAATTAGTTCAATGAAAATGAGCCACAAATCCAAATAGCAGCAAGCAGCTACAGCTGTGACCACTGAAGTGTACTATCCCAAACAATTCAAATTCAGAAACAGTGTCCAACTTACGTTACGCTCGAGTTGCGATTTGAAGCCGCCGCCGCTGACGCTGCCGTGGCTGCTGCCGTCGCAGCGCCAGCCGCCGATGTTGTCGACACCGTTGATTTAGATTCGACTGTTGTGGCAGAGGTTTGATTTAATGCTTGTTCCTGCTGGCTGCTCTTGCCGCTCGCTTTGCTGCTAACGCTCGCGTTCTTCTTTAGACTATTTGTAGAAGGGTACTCCTGTGCGGTAAATAAATTAATACATTAATAAGACAATTATGCATTTAATTAGAGATGCAGCAAACATACATGCACATCCTCGGCGACGGGTCGTTGATTGATGAGCGTTATGGCCGCTGCAGGCAGAGCCTCTTTCGATTTGTTGCCCTTGGCTATATCACGGAACTCCTCCGTGTATTCCTGCAAACACAACGTGATTTACAATGAATTCATTAGAATGCCATCTAAACACTTACCACAAATGCAGGCCAGTTCATGGCCATATTGATACCATGGTTATTTGACCACCATTTCAAGTCCTTTTGTTGGTCCGCATTGTTGATTGTATGATAGAACTCCTCATAGATTTGGGACAGGCTGCAATGCAAGAGATGGTAGATAGTAAAGATTTCAAAATTAATTTCAGAAAGCCAAATCGACCGTTGATACTTACTTTTGCACTTTGGTTGGATCGAGACACTCATGCACATTGAATAGCACTTCTTTGAAGAACTGAAGACGTGTCTTCTCCATGTTTTGGCACTTCTCAAATACGGATGTCATATCCTCAATGTAAACGGAATTATATTTGGTTATTTCGCCAATGGCCTGCTCATATTTCTCGCGGCACTTTTGAACTTGATCTTTGGTCTTTTGCACGCGATCGTGCATCTTTTTCACCTGCAAAATAATACGCAATAAAGCAAAGCCATACAACTGCCGATACTGTCTATCGGTTATAGTATAGAACTAACCTGATCTGGCGACAGCGAGCTGTCCGCATTGGCGTTGCGCTCTTGATTGGTGGCGCTACGTTCCGTTTTGCATGCTGCATGATAATCTGCTTTGGCCTTCTCCACTTTCGCCAGCAATTTGGCCCAGGGCTTCTGTGCCTTTTTGAACAGATCATCCATGTCCTTGCGTTCCTTGATCTGCATGAGTGTGTGATGGTAGTTATCCTTTTGCCAAGTCTTAATCTGACTATTGACATCATTGCAGAGATTATCCTTGATCTTCATGTGTACATCTGACAATCGCTCCGCTTCGGTTAGTACACCCTTCCAAGCTGCTTCCGTTGTGCCATATTCTGGTCCTAAAATCGAATCGAAACCAAAATCCAATTAAATTGATTATCAGAACTCGTCACATATTCTTCAGTGGTAATGATGTGTAATTTTTAAACGATTTTCGAGAGTTTCTGTCATGTTGCTGATGTCATCAACAACTGGCATTTTTTATCTAATCACCTGGAAGTCGGTTGCCAATGTGTGCATGTGTGTGGGGCGTGTATGGGGAGTGAGTGGGTACGGCAGAGCTTTGGCATGTTTACGGTATGCTAACAACAACTGAGAAACCGTAATAGAGTTTATACGATGCCCACTTAATAATTGCAAATTGGGAATGCACGAAACTCGTTTGACCATTTTGACTAACGGCCACTCAACTATTCTCAATTGGCACCCCACACACACACACACACACACACATAAAGGCGCGCATCATACAAATTGAGGCGCTTAGCACAAAAATAAACACGTTCTATTTTCTCATCGCATTGATTTTTGAAACCATTTCGAGTGACGCTTTGGTGCCGGTTTGCTATGCTACTCTTTCAATTGGCTGAGTGGGTGTGCCGGTCGAGGGGAAGGGACCTGAGCGGTGGCCCGTTGATAACTCTGGCTAGACGCAACTAGGCAAATTCCGTACAATATTGTCGTGCGCTCGATGAAGCCGCTGCTTTTATTTTTTTCTTTTTTGCTATTGCTCTTTGTCGTCGTGCTCACCGTGAAAGTGGGCTGAGAGCAAAGGCGGGCATAACAAAAAACAAAAACAAAAACATTAGCAATAGCAAAAGCTGGTAACCAACATTGCTCACAGTGTACTCGATTTCATTTCACGCACACTGGAACAGAAATGGCAACGAAAACGACTGAAATCGGTGTAGTGACATTTGCCTGTTAGGGAAATTCGGCATTCCACACACTAAAGGAAGAGCTCTATCAACTGGTTATCAAATTGATTGGCATAACAATAAGACCTTTGTTGAGTTTAATATCTGTCTTCTAGATAAACTACAGTTTAACATAAATGGAACATAAGCCATAAAAGAAGCATAGCTGAAATGATATTTCAATATTTTTTAACGACTTTATCAGTTGCCTAACAGCCTTAACCTGTCTAACAGTTTGTTTTGAACGCTTGATGGAACAGTTCTCCAGTTCTAAAACAATTTCGTGTGATTTGGCACCAGAGTGCGAAGCTGCCGATGACAACAGGTATGAGACAGTGCAAAACAAAAACAAAAACAAAAAAAGGGGCCAACAAAAAGCCCATTAATAGCTTAAGCCACTTATCGCACAGCAACAATGCGCAGTGTACACAAAATGTGGCAAAATAAGAACTGAGTTCTGTCAGCCCACTGAGCAGTGACGCTGGCAACGGGTCATCACYGTAGTTGTTGTTGTTGCTCCATTGGTCCGCTGAGCAGGCGTGAATGAATGTGTGTAAACAAATAACACGGTTATATGCATACAGTTACATATTCAAGTAGAGTACGTAGTATTTAATGTTTCTTTATAACTCTTTTCCTCCTACTTTACATWCATACATTATTCAGTAAATGTCGCCGTCATTGTTATGTGACACAATAATAATTTCCTTTGCAAATCGAGTCAAACGAAAGCAAGACTTGAGCTTTGAACACACATGTATGTAGAAATGCTTAGAAAACGAATCACTACGACTTGTATTTGTTTCTAATTTCTAATCTGTTATTAATGTGCAGAGTATTGGGCAGTCACCCACAAATTATTAACTCGTTTCACTTACCTTTCTCAATGAGTTCACCCCATTTCTTTGACCAGGCGCGCAAGCTTTTGGCATATCCCTTCTCAATATCGGCACGCTCCTGTATCAGTTGCTGTAGGTCATTGCAGAGTCTGTGCGGGCAGATGAGAAAGCGAGAAGGAAAGACACACAGAGAGAGTGAGCGAGAGCGACAATACAAATAACTGGTTTTCCAGTTTGTTATTGCTGGCAATGACCCTAACAGTGTTTACGATTTGTATTTTCATACTCACTTGTAGCTGTCTTCGATGCGTTTGGTGGTTCGTTTGTAATTGCCGGGCTCCCAGAAGGAATCACTTCCAGCCTGCAGAAGCTGTTCATCGCTGTGGTGGGACATTTCCTAAAATAAAACAACTCAATAATTAACAATTTCGAGCCTAACA